TACTCGCCTTAGGGAAATTAATTTTAAAAGTCAAAACGCAATGGTCTGAAATACCAACATCAAGTGTACCGACAGAAGTGAAGTCATCCGGATCACCTACTATGAGCAAATCTATCAATGTACTCGTAGATTTGGTTATTCTAGTAGGAGATTCAATAAGCTGTGTCAAATTATATGCCTCAAGGAAATCATACAACAGCTTGGTTTTACGATCTAGATTTAAAATATTTATATTTAGATCACCAGTTATAGCGAGCAAATCACTATCTGGTAGAAAAAGATCCACAGCTGACTCCAATTCGCGAAGCATGTCCACAACATTAGCAGAAGGGGGGCTATAGACAACACTAAATATGAATGTTTTCCGATTAAGTTTTAGTGAGAACCAGATCTGTTCCAAGGCAGGAGTTATATTAATATGGATAATCTTACTCTGGAAACATTTTTTTGTATATACTGCAACGCCCCCACCTCTACCAATTCGATCTGCACGAAAAAAGGTGTAACCATTAATGTCAATCAATTTAGGGTCAATTTGATCATGTAACCAAGTCTCACTCATAGCTATGAAATCGATGTCATTATCATCAACATAGCTACGCAGCATCCCTATATTTGCAACCAGAGATCTAATATTGAGGTGAACCACATTCAACAACGATGGCATTATCCAAATTACAAACAAAAAATAATAAGTAAACAATAACAGAAAGCAAAAATACACTGAAAAGATAAGAGATAAAAAATAATGTATATTATGTACTATGATGAAAACACATACACAGCACCAGGAAAATAAAATCTAGAGTAAATATTTAGTCTAGTAAACAAGAAATAGAAATTCTATAACTATAACATAGCACTTGGATCTTCTAAAATATAAAGTCCTTAATTCCTTAATTGTTCAACAAAAGAGATTTTTTTCAATGCATTGGTTTTGAACTTGAACCGTAGAAAATTACGTAGCAATCCGTTCATAACTCTTCTTATCACCTAGCTGACATTTTTCATAAAATATTCTTTCTAAGGGCCGGTATTCTCCAAATCAGTTATAAAAATCGTATATGCAAAGAAACATGCCGTCTCTTGATTATGCATATTGTCATTTATCATCATCGCAGAAAAATTTCAACGGCAGGTAATAGGTTATTATGGATGTTTTATATCACAAAAATTGATTTAAAGTTACTTCTAAACCTCGTGTTGAATCATTTTCGAGCTCCCGATCATCTCTGGTCGACGGTGTAGTTGACCTCAAAAAACGCTGAATGTGCTACGCATTTTCTAATCTAAGGTGATTGAACCTCAATCATTTTTATCTCACAACCTTCAGGGCTTAGGTGGTTGTGCCTATTGAGACATTAGCTCAGAAATTCAACCACTTTAGTGGAAGTCCGATTTGCATAAAGAAATTGCGTAGTTCTTTGGTATGATGCAAGAGGAACTCATTACTAGTAAATTCCAGCAAAACCGTGACCATGCAATTTCGTTCAGGCGCCAGATCAAGTCGAAAAATCCAAAATTTGGATATAAAAGTAAAATCAGATGATGTTTTAGTAGTAGTAGTAGTATTTCCCACTCCAGAAAATTTCTTGGCATTTGAGCGAGACGACAAATATTAAAAAGCTTTGCAAGCTCGTGCTGAATTTAATAGAGTGTTTTCAGTAAGAGGATGAAAACAGCGATCCCCTGTTACCCACTTCATGCGTACTAGAGAGAGTAGCAGATGCACTGAACATTAGTCTGCGCCCATGGTGCGGAGACTCGATCTGTTTACTTATTCCATATGGCATTGATGACCTAACCGCCAAGACTACAACTATACTATTATCAAAATTTGTGCGCCTCATACAGGGTTCGTCAGAAAGGACGCATGTTTTTCGAATGGAAACTACATCGAGTGGGCTGGTCCCGTGTCGATGGTGATGGGCGTGTTGGATAGTGGGAAAAGTGCCGTTTCAGTTGGCAAAATGGTATGGAACGTTGAGCATCGTGTGTTCATTGTACGTCGGTCATTTCAAAATGGCGAGTCTGTCGTTCTAACGTGAGTTTCGAGTTCACTTTCGTGTTCGACGTCGTGGGACAGTACCACACCGTAACACCATTTGGAGATGGATGGAAGCAATCAACACAACAGGTAATGTGATGAAGAAGAAACCGCCAGGGCGAAACCGTTCTGTTAGAACCCCCGAAAACGTAGACAGAGTAAGAGTTGATACTCTGCAAAGCCCTAATCGTTCCGTCTGTTTGCGATCCACGCGTCCTCTGTCCGTCGCATCTTGATGAAGGATTTAGTGTTCCATCCTTACAAAATCCAAGTTTGCCAGCAACTGTTGCCGGGGGACTATGCACAACGTGTTAATTTTGCACAGTTCATGATTGAACAGTTGGATAACAATGACGTGACGTTGTTTATGAGTGATGAAGCACATTTTCATTTACATGGATAAGTCAATCAACAAAATTGTCGATATTAGTCTCCAGTGAACCCACAACAGATGCATGAGCACCCCCTGCATACCCCGACAGTTAAGGCCCAACGATGATTATTGGCTCTTATTTCTTGAGTACGATGGAGAAACAACTACTGTGAATTCCGAGCGTTACATCCACATGCCGAACAACTTTGTTTTCCGGAACTTCAACGTCGACGAGTCCGTCTCAGAACAGTGTGGGTCCAACAAGACGGGGCAACACCTCACACAGCTCGCACTTAGATGGAACTTCAAAAATTCCCAGGACGTCTCATTTCACGTCATAGCGATATTCCATGGCCCCCTCGCTCCCCGGACCTATCAACGTGTGATTTTTTACGGGGCTACCTGAAATCAAAAGTTTACCAAAGCAAGCCTGGGACCCTCGTCGATTTGAAGTAGGAAATGAGAAGAGAAGTCACGCAAATTCCTGCACGGCTGCTGGCCCACGCAATGGTCTCATTTTACTCAAAAAATGTATTTCTGAGTATTTTGATATAAAAAAATATTTTCCGATACCGTAAGGTCAGGGTACTTTGTCCCAAAATAATGATATTTTTTATTGCCCTTACAATTACTTCAGTTTTAAAGATGCTATGTTTGTGTTATTTATACAAATGTTTAGTAGGGATATAAATAACACATTTATAGTCTAAAAACGCTAATATAACTTCGGGGTTAGACATAATTTTTTTTACAGTTAGGACCAAAGTTTTACTTAAGAGATGGTTTCTTTGACCCACTTGGTTTTTACGTATTACAACGTATTGGTATTTAATGGTGGAGCAAAGTAAACAGTATATATCGGCAAATATGAAAGAAAGACCTATTATATTATTGTTAGGCACTTTTTATTGCACAAAAAAACTAAAAAAGTCACAAATATTAAAAATATTTCCAGCACATGACTTTTTCTTATTTATTTTAACAAAATCAGGTAGTCTTCTCTCTTATTACGAAATACATTTACTAGAAGTACCTCAATACTAAAAATAAAAACAAAACATCCCTCAGTTATTACAATAGTAAAGTAAACAAGAGGTAGGAACTTAACAGTCTAGAGTTGCTCATCAGTCCATTTTTCACGAATTTTGGTACTCCAATCTTCGTTATCACTGACTCCCAAGCATATAATTGCTCATCTTTTATGTTAGGCCATCTCCAGAACATTCCTTTTTTCATACAACTTATTAGCGCTCCTTTTGCAGATATCCATATAATTTTCCCTGAATAAACACGTGAATTCCACTTAACCAATACATGATCATTGATACAGTAACTATCGCCATTTTGATATTCCTCTTCCGCTTTTTGTACATCATCTGGATTAATTTTATTTGGCAGAGGCGGCCCTTCTTTATTTTCGTCTTCATTACTGCAACTTTGACCGTCAGACTTCGAACAGTTTCTTAAAAGCAGATCTTCAATAAACCTTGTGTTGCAATCCGGAGGAATGGGCTCTGGTAGCTGAGTTGATGGCCCAAGCGCCTCCAGATTTCCATCATATTTGCTTCTGGGATTGCGATTTGTAAGCTGTGCTAGGCGTAAGTTGTCCTCTTCATCATCAGATTGATCTCGTGCCAGAATGAGATCTTCAGTAGAAGATGCCAAACTTATGTCTGTGTCACTGCATTCTGAAGAGGAAACCTCACTAATCAATCGCTTCCTGGACTTTGCATTTTTCTTAGGATCTGGTCTATTTACTCCTGAAGAACTAGCTTGTTCTCTGTCTGAAATATCTTCTAAGCGAATGGATCGACCAGCAGGTATATCTAGCATTTTCTTCTTGCCTTGATTCTTTCGGATTGGGCTATCGTTACTCCGTAATTGCTTTAGATTTTGCATAAAAGCGCCGGAAATTAGATTAAGATCTACAATTCTGTCTTGCCTTGCAATCTACGTTCTGAGGTTAAATGCCAGTTTTCCTGAACCCGTTTACGAGATAACTTTGGGTTTCTTTCATGCTATCCAGTGCAGTTTTTAGTAGTCTAGGAAATTGATCCTTCGGCACGGTTGGAAGTCTTCCTGCTTCTGGGGTATTTTTCCAATCTAGCAAGACTTGACGCCATTTAATCTTCAAAGGCCTGAAATATGCCACATCAAGTGGCTGAAGAATATGAGTTGCATTGGCAGGTAAACAGATAAAACTGATGTTGTTGGCCTCGCATGCTGCTAACACATTTTTGTTTATATGGGAGGACAAGTTGTCACCAATAATCACTTTGCGGCCATCTTTTTTCTTTAAAATTGGCAGTAAATGAGATTCGAACCAGTCCTCAAATGTGATACTATCAATCCAACCGCTTTTGGTTCTATTATACCGGGTTCCGTGTGGTCCATTTTCAGTCCAAGTAGACCACAAATGCTCTGCCTTAAAAATAACATATGGCGGAACAGTTTCCCCTACGGCATTCCCACAAAACATGACTGAAAAATTTACATTTGTAGCATTTACAATCATTTCAGGATACTTTGTGCCACGTCTACAAATTCTGAGAGCGCTGTAACATGGGCAACAAATGCTTGTTCTTCTTCTGTTGGGAATATAGTTGGATGGCCGGGTTTGTTACAGTGCTTATTCTTCAGTTTATTCTTTATCGTACTATGAGGAATTTTATACATAGCTGCAGCCCTCCAACTGCTCTTTAGTGTAGTCAATGTAACGACGATTTCCCGCTTTCCTTCTATAGATGGTAGGCATCTTTGTGTATCTAAAAGGTCAAAAGTAACGCATTATTCCGATTGAATGGCTTAATATAGCTGGTTATGTAAAAATATAATGAAAAATCATTATAAGGGTACTTTGGCCCATGAATATATTCTCCACAAAAATTACTTTTACCGTTTGTTTCGTATTCCAACATCATCTCAGATGTATTTCTGATACATTTGATCACGTAAAAGATCTGCAACTTACCTGATAACTTGGTTTCGTGAGAAAGTTTGCACACAATACATTCACGTGTTCTGCAGATAGATACTTGTTGTCCTAACCTCAAATCTACGCATGCGCTGTGAGCCCGAGATAATGTGCTACCAATATCACTATAGAGTCATCTATCGATTACTAGGCGAACTACATCGATACGTCGCAATGAGCTGGCATGGCAGAAAGCGAAAACTTTTTAACAGTTTGGGCTTAAGTAGCACCGTAGGGCTAAAGTACCCCGATCTGACGTTACTTATTTTGACTGTTGTACTGCCGTACAAAACATGCGTCCTTTCTGACGGACCCTGTATTAACATACTAAATAAATCCTGTAACAGTAGGTAGCTGCTGTGAGTCTTCTCTAACACTAATCTGCATTCTCCTTGATATTCCCTGTACATCATGTATTTTTCCGCATCATCCATCGCCGCATTCTGTAACCACGCCTGCACCATATGTTGCAGTTTAAGCATAATTGCATTTAGTATCGCCGATGTTTTTACAAGTTTTACGGCTCCTGAAAGTGCGATCAGCATAGAAATGGTTGTTTCGCACTGCGCTACCAATTAGAATTGGGCCGTTTCCGGCTTTTTTTGCCGCTGACTAACGGCCAAATAATTAAAAAGACTTTATGTGTACTGCAACAGGGATCGCCTTAAGCGAAGGTAGGTAATGTGAGACTATATAGTTTTATATAATATATCGGGGTTTTTGAATTTGACTCTCAGCATAAGGATCTGTTGTGGGTATTTCCTGAGACACAAAAAATTTGCAAAAGTTTTATCTTCAATTTGAATACAAAGTAGTATCGGAATACACACATTCATTATTTACCTGGGGATTTTTCCATTACCTATCATTATTTACCTAGGGGAAGAAATGTAGCTTTTGGGTATTTGTTAACTGGGTCTTGAGACATCCAAAAAATTATTAACGTCATGAAATATCCTCAGAAAAACAACTCTTATAAACTGGGTCTAGGTAAACATACCGATTTTAATTATGCACATAACAGGTTATATTTGTATTAGTAAAAAGAGTGTTTCAGCTTATTGTTGCATAACTTTAAGATTCGATAGAACTTTTAAAATTAATGCATACAGTCTATATAAACATGGGTCGAAAAACGCGTGGCTTCCGAAATACAGGGTGTTTAAATTTACTTTCTACAATAGTTTTTTTTAAATATTTCGAACAATATTTGATGTATAACAGTGGAAATTGGTATACAAGGGTTTTTTGACACGAAAAAACAAACCATGGGCATAGCTTTACTGTAGCCGCTAGAGGGCGCTCTCTACTGTACCTGTAGTGTATTAAAATGACCGAAAATTTTGTCTTTGTGCAATTTTTTGGTTTTTGAATAAAAAAACTGATTATTCGCACTTTTCATATAAAAAAGCTCTCCTGAGAGTTTTCGTTATAGTTAGCTGTTTTTGAGATATTTTGATTTTTAAGGTTCGATGCATTTTTAATTATTCATGGGAAAATAATATTTTTTTTACATTTTCGATTTGGCCATTACAAATAATTAAGATAATCGTTTAGATTGTTTTTTTAAACACAGCAATAATTCCTAACTCCAAATGAACACAAAAAACAGAATATTAATTTGTTTAATTTACCAATATTATTTTTAACAAATTAAATTAATTATTTACAACTAAAATGCTATTGGATAGTTAGGACAAACATACAAAATCTAAAGTAGTTGCTCGAAATGTAAACCCAATTGTTCAATACACAATTCACATCTACGAATGATCGAACGTGGTATAGCATTATTCAAATAAGACCTTATTTCATCACATGCACTCCTAATTCAGTCTATTAGCATATCTCTTGTGGTTACGGGGGTCTGGTACACTGTTTCTTTTAGAAATCCCCACACAAAGAAATCTAATGGATTTAGGTCAGGGAATCGTGGAGGCCAGGCGACTGGTCCTCCACAGCCGATCCATCTTTTTGGATAATTTTCGTCCAGCCAGTTTCTAACTATTCTCCAATAATGAGCTGGACAACCATCAAGCTGGAACCAGGCCAATCTTCTTAAATCTAACATAACATCATCCCATATATTTTCATGTTCAGCCTTTAAAAATTCCAAGAAGGTCGCAGCATTTAACCTTGCAGGCAAAAGGTGGGGTCCAAATAGTCCATTACGGTAGATACCAATCCACACGTTCACACTAAATTCATGCTGAAAATTTCTTTCCCGAACTGCATGCGGATTTTCATGCGACCAAATATGCTGATTATGAAAATTTACCACTCCACGTCTAGTGAAGCATGACTCATCGGTCCATAAAACGTTACTTAAAAACTCCCTATTATTATCAGTTCTATCAAGAATCCACTGACAAAATGTGATTCTTTCTTCTCCGTCCCCTGGCTGTAGTCCTTGCACAGGTTGCAAATGGTAAGGACTTCTATGGTCGTTTCTAAGAACACGGTGAACATGGCTTGCTGAAATTCCCAAGGCACCAGAAACTCTCCTAACACTTGTGGTCGGATCTCTATCGAACTCACGCAGAATCATACGGGTAAATCTGCGCTGACGAACATTTATGTTTTGATCCCATTGGAGATTTCCAAAACCATTTTCAATTATTTGGCGATGTACTCTTGCAAATACTGAGCGAGTTGGATGTCGTCTGTTTGGAAATCTTCGTGCGTATTCTCTGGCTGTTTCTGCTGCGTTTCCATTTACAAAGCCATACACAAAATGAATATCCGTTAACTCTTGATTGGAGAATAAAAATGGCATTTTTATAAAACTTACAAAAAAGACAGGTAAAAGAAACTAAATTTCGTGCATTCACAATGGCAAAAAAACGTTTCAGGTTTCAACAGACAACAAAACTAACTGTCAACTAATTGACGTTTAACCTTATTCTGCTTTCAATTTCAAAAATATTTGCAGGCACAGCCTACTTCTAAAAATTATCGAGATACCGACTTTTTAACGTTATTTTATCATAAATAATTAAAAATGCATCGAACCTTAAAAATCGAAATATCTCAAAAACGGCTAACTATAACGAAAATTCACAAGATACCATTTTTATGTTGAAAAGTGCGAAGAATCAGTTCTTTTATTCAAAAAGCAAAAAATTGCACCAAGAAAAAAATTTCGGTCCTTTTAATACACTACAGGTACAGTAGAGAGCGCCCTCTAGCGGCTACAGTAAAGCTGTTTCGTTTTATCGTACCAAAAAACCCTTGTATACCAATGTTCACTGTTATACATCAAATATTGTTCGAAATATTAAAAAAAAACTATTTTAGAAAGTAAATTTAAACACCCTGTATTTCGGAAGCCACGCATTTTTCGACCCATATTTATATAGACTTTATGCATTAATTTTAAAAGTTTTATCGAATCTCAAAGTTATGCAACAATAAACTGAAACACCCTGTATAGTTGGTTTTAACTCATCGAATAAAGAACTGCATAACGCTAATCTGTCCATCCTATTTAAAGGTAATAATGGAATTACTGAAAGTGGTATAGTTTCAAAAATCTGGTACATAAAGACATTTTGAAATATGTAGGAGCATCGAAGGCGCTTCAAGCTGCTAAGCATGTTTCATATCCGTCATATCTAAACTGATGCAAACATCTTGCATTTATCATGAGTAATCTATGACTGAAGTGACACGTATGTAGGGAAGCTTACTTATGTTGGAAATACGCTTATTGTAGTTAATGAAAGCCAATTATAAAAAAAACCTATTTTCTGATGTTTTACAATGTCAATCTGTGACAAATTACAGTTTTTGGGATCAGAATTGAAAACTTTTCACTTGTCCGCAAATCCAATATGGCTACCATAAGAAAGACTAAAGCTGATGATAGAAGACAGGAGTGCTAGATATGTAACTTATTTTGAAACCCCACGTCAAATGAACTCAGCAAAAAATAAACACGATTTGGAGTGAAACATTTTTTTCTTCGTGTCTGAGCTTCAACTTCTATTGGCCATTTTCTTACGAGAATCAGCATCTTTATCCGCATTTTTTTGAGAGAGGGGAAAGATTTTACAACCACTCAGACAGAAAGGTAGCGTTGCGTTAGGTTTTTATACCAGCGGTCATATTCTCATCGTCGAACGTATACATTAGCACCTACTTTATGTACAATCCTTCATATAGAAACCTATTATTGGTTATTTGTTATGTTTTTGTCATCCTGTACATTGCTCAGTGATCAGGAGTATCCTCCTCTACGTTGCAACATAGCCAGTTTCCGTACTGTATCTTTCCTACACTTTTCTGGTAACTGTCAAAACAACTATGTACTGTAAGGAACTGTGCCGTATAGTAGTATATCCGCACCGCTCCATGTCAATCCAAGTTTTAGTATCTGGAATCAGCCTTCTAGCCCCTGCACCATGGCCAGTTGCAATTTATTCATATCTTCTGCCATCTAACATCGTCACGCTTTTTATAGACCGCGCATCTCTCTTCAGCCAGCAAATCATCTGGCGGGATACCAGCCACCACCGACACCATTCTATAAGCGCTGACCAGACGCAGCACTACCTTTTGCTGGCTTCTGAGCAGTAGCTGTCTATATTTCCTTTTCTTATTCAAGGTCTTATTGTAGAGCATAGTCAGGTTTGCCACACCTACCAAAATGCTATTTGACCGACATCGTATCTCTTACCGTTTCCGGTAAGCTGGGTGTTCCGAATTGAGCACATAACTGCAAAATGAAAGCGACCGCGATGATCAGACGCAACCTGAACACTTGTAACCACCTGCTATGCTAGCTGTAATTTATTTGAAGTAGCTGTGTGTCTTGCCTAAAATATGCGCTGTCAGTGTAATGTGTTTGGCTTAATGTAACATCTGCTTCAATGGCGAAGGCCAGTCTTACTTTGTCCTAAGCTATATGTTCTATCATTTCAGGCAAATGTCCATCATATCGTCGGTCTCCGCACGTACAGGCGTAAATGATAAATAATCTAAAATCGAGTTACGCCGTAATTTCACATATTTTTTTGTAGTATCTCACTTCACGCAATGACGTAGCTGTATATCAGTTCGCTGCTTAGGAATAAAATTTTCAGAAAATTGCGTAAGTTACAAAATTCCGAAAACAATTTTCACGGATCGGCTTAAATAGATTTACGCCTCTGCGTTAAGATTAGTTCATTTTAGTCTAACAAAAAAAAACAGCAACGCGCAAACTAAAAAATCAGTATGTCATTTTCAATCTCATTTATTGCTGATTTCCGTTTCCTAGCTCTCCTGTAAAATTTGTAAAATATTAGTTACGCCGGTACGTGCGGAGACTGACGATATGTAGCGTTCATTAACTATGGCGCTCAGATTGTTATCAAAGCAATTTTTTACATTATACTGATGCGGCTTACATTGCTGTGTGCTAGGAATATAGGGCGGAGT